AGCACAGAGAAAGGAGCCCTATAAAACGCCAGCAGCCACTTTGACCTGTCTGTTCTTCGTTTCTTTCCAAACTTGCTCACACCCTCCCCTCCCTCAGCTCAGAGACGGGGGTCTCGGGAACAGGATGTTCAACCTAGAGGATGGATAAAATGTGATGCGGGAGCTCAGCCCACCCAGCACAAACGAGAAAGATCCCCCTCTGCCCCAACAGCCTGGAAAAAACCAGCAAGAAACGAACCCCGGAGACCCCAAACGCAACAGGGAGCAGCTCTACGCTGCCAATCGCCACTTTGAGAGCTGCTGAGAGGGATCGGGCCGTGCCCGAGCAATACTGGATGCTCTCCCCGATGCTCTCGCTCGTGGCAGGGCTTCCCTGAGTTTGCTCCGGTCCCCGGCTTCGCAGCCAGGACCTGCTCTTAATACTTCCACCGACAGAGGATCCACAGCCTTGCTGTGTGATCTAGTCTAATCCCAAGCTTACCATCCCCTTCCTATTTTTTTATTTTTATTTAAAAATCAGATTTCTAAGACAGAGCACTCACTGAATAACTATTCCTACCCGCAGGCAATCTAAATTTTTACCTTCATTGAGACATCTTTACGAGGAACCTCGCTCCTGTCTACCCCTTCCCATTCATCCCACAACTCCTCCATCGCTAGCAAAAATATATTACAGGAAGAGGGAAATAAAAAACCCAAACAAAAAAAGGATGGAAACTTGATGACCACTTAAGGATGCCTGGCTTGCAACTTGGGAGAAACTGAGGTCTTCACCACCCCTCTAAGCCCCGCTGAAATACTGCATCAAAAATGGGGCGCAAGCCCCTCCGGCTCTCCCCAGTCCCCTCTACAAGCTGCTCATCGCCTCCCTTTGACCCCAGGCTCAGGTTTTTGGGGTGCTCACTGCAAAATCCTGGCGGGTTTAAAACATTTCCCCCCTCCCACCCACTCCCCGCTTTGGCCTGTGGGTCAGTACAGGACTGAAATCTTTGGTTTGTAAATGAAGGCGTCCTAAAAAGCTCCCCCAAATGATGCCAGGGAAGAATTCATTGAAAAATACCCATAACTGGACACACAACAACCCTCCCTCCCCAAACCCTAACTGCAGGGCAGCATCCTCATCCCTTCCTTGCAGACGGAGTGGGGGAGCCTGCTGCCAGGGAAAGGGGAGTTTGCAAGGTAAAAATAATAAAAATATAATCTCGGGGAGGGTCTCAGCTGGCCCTGAACCAGAGGCGTAGAGGCACTTCACCCTACGGACTCCCCAGGGGTCCCAGGACATGTAAACACGTTTTTGCTCACCTTTTCCTACGAAAATGCGTTTGTTTAAATCTCTCTCTCTCTCTCTGCTACCCCTGACCACAGCAACGATCTGCTCTCACGCATGAGAAAAAAAGATTTATAAACTTTTTCTTTTTCTTTTTTTTTTTTTTTTTTTAAAAAGGACTCATCCAAAGATCTGGATAATAAATTATTTGCGTTTCCTAAGAAACTTTTTTTTGTTTCCTTTTTTTTTTTCTTTCCTATTTGCCTTGTTAAGCTGTCTGAAGCTCATGGCAGAAGCTGTTCGCCTACATTGTACTCGTCTCTTCAATGCAGAAAATGCTATTAAAGGAGGAGGAGAACCCAAACGAAGGAGGAGAAGGAAAGCCCCAGTTCTGACTCAAGAAGCCCTAAATCCTTCCCCCTGCCACGAGGAGGAGGAAGAGGAATGCTGTGTTAACACTCGAATTGCTTGTAAACGCTGAGGATGGGTCTCTAAGGCTGACAGTGATGCGGGGAGGGAGGGACAAGCGACATCCTCGGCCCTTCCTAGCTCAGCCGCTGCCCGAGGCTGGATTTGCCTCCCCACCGCCGTTAGGGAAGGGTCCTCCCCCCTCCTTTCTTCCCCCCACCCTGGTTGTCATTCTCCTGGTCCACCGGCCACAGGGAGCATCATCAGCAGTCGCCCTCCGTGGCCATGACCACCAGCATCTCGCTCTTGCCCATCTCTTCTAAGGCACTGGCCAGGGTGTTGAGGTCACCGTCGTCTTGGTGCTCGGCTTCCCATAAGTCCAGGAGCACCCCGGTGGGGCTGGCTTTGGTGGCAAAGTAGTTGAGATACCTGTGAAGGGGGAAAGCAATGAGAGAGAGAGGAGGTCCCAAAGTTGGCAAGGAAGGGAGGGCGCCAGAGTGGCAAAACCGTTTGCAGAGCGAACCCCGATGATGGGAAATGCAGTAACGCAAATGCCAAAGCCCGCGGGACATCGTCTTCGATTTTTTCTACAGAGCTGGCCCTCGTGCAGAAGCAACACAAGCTGAAATCACCCTCCCTTTGGTCCTCAGAGGTGAACCCAGGCATGAACAAGCACAAGCATGGTCCCAGATAAATAAGGACCCAGTTCAAAGTGACAAGAGACCTGGGACCATGGCACAGATGGATGCATGGATATAGATGGGTATAACTATACACAGCTAAATCCACATTTCTGGGTGGACCTATATAACTGGGTGCCTGCCTATATAACTGGGAGGAGGTCCAGAGCGATACCCTCCCTGCCCTGCCTGAGGCACGAGAGGGGAAAGCGAAGCATGGGGAGACCCACCGGTCCATGGAAAGCTTCTGGGCGAGAAGCCTCCAGTCGTTTCCCCTGGAGTTGGGGGCATCCAGGCTGTTGCAGATCTTCTGCCGGATGGAAAGGGGGATTTTGAAGGCGTAGGGTCCCAGCTGGGTGGTGGTGGCACTGCTGTGGTGGGAGCGGAGGGTGTCGAAGGAGCTGGCATGCTGCAAGGGGAAGGACAGGGTGAGGTGCTGCAGCAAGGAGTAGGTCCCAAGTATGTCCCCCCTGCTGCGTCCCCACACCTCCCCACCACTCACCTCTCCCAGCGTGATGTGGAGCTGGAAGATCTGCCCTTCCCCTTCCACCTGCCGGACGCAGATCTTGCAGGTGAGCTCGGTGGAGGCCTGGCTGTACCTCTCCAGTGTGAAGGTGCAGTGCAGGGCTCGCTGGCTGCCGCTCCAGATGTGATAGAAGGGGATTTCCTGCAGACCACCAAAGCGTGGGCTCAGCAAAGGCTCCAGGACATCCCTTGGGAGATCTCACCTCCTCCAGCCAGCCCACAGGGATGAAATGGGACAGAAGGGCCCCCACAGACAGCATCCCACCAGGGAAGGCCAGAAAACTGGTCCCACCTTCCTCTTCCATCCCTTTGGGAGACAACATGAGGGCACTCATGACCTCGTGGTGCTCAGCTGAGGATGGTATCCCCGGCCCGGGATCCCGCTGGCTGCCCCGGCCTCAGCTCCTCACCTGGTACTTGGCCAGCAGCTTGCTCCTCCACAGCGCGTGGGGGATGTCGTGGATGGAGAGTCGCAGGTTGTGGTAGCTGTCCTTGAAGGGCAGGGGCTTGGGTTCCTCCAGCAGGTACCCGCCCAGCGTCCGCTCCAGCTCCAGCACTTCCTGCGCAAAGTGAGACCCCGAAGAGGAGCAGGGGCTGCTCCTCTCCCCACTCCACACCCAAAGCCAGGCATGGTCCTGCCAAGAGCAGCCAGCAACAAGCCCATGGGGACTCCTCCTCAGGACAGCAGCCTTGGCCACCCTGCTAGCTGCTCTCCAAGAACTTGCCAACTCACCCCGCGTGCCAGCCCCAGCTACAGCTTGAATTTTATAACACATGAGCATCTGTGTATGTCTCTGTACCACTGAGACCACACAAAGGTCCAGCAGAAAGGTTGAAGAGCGCCAGCCCATCTGCTTTTAACAACATTCCGCTATTATGTAGCAGCTCTTAGAAAGGCACCATCATCCCAGGAGCCAGAGCGCTGCCTACATCTCCACCTAGAGGAACTTCAGCAATCCTGACACCACAGGACGAGTCACTGGGATTTGAAACGGCCACCCAGCACATCGAAACTCATGCTTCCCGTGCTGCGCTCCGTGTTAGCTATGCCACAAAACCCTCTCAAGGAGGGCAGAGACATCTCTGTGGAGGAATAACAGGATCTAGAGTAAAAGATTCTGGAATACAGGATCCAGGATAAAAAATCCTGGAATAACAGGTTCTAAAGTCATGGACCTGTTGGAGTGGGTCCAGAGGAGGGCCACAAAAATGATCAGGGGGCTGGAGCACCTCCTGTTAATAAAAAGGATGAGAGGGAGTTGGAGTTCTTCAGCCTGGAGAAGAGAAGGTTCTGTGGAGACCTTATTGGGACCTTCCAGTACTTAATGGGGGCTACAAAAAGACGTGGCCAGGCTTTTAACAGGGCCCATTGTGATAGGACAAGAGGCAATGGTTTTAAACTAAGAGAGGGTAGATACAGATCAAATATAAAGAAGACGTTTTTGACAACGAGGATGGTGAAACACTGGACCAGTGTTGCCCAGAGAGGTTGGTAGAAGCCTCCCTCATCCCTGGAAACATTCAGTCAGGTTGGATGGGGCTCTGAGCAACCTGATCTAGTTAAAGATGTCCCTGCTCACTGCAGGGGGGTTTGACTAGACGACCTTTAAAGGTCCCTTCCAACTCAAATTATTCTACGATTCTAAAACTGAAATCACAAATCACAGCAGTGAGTGTTTTCTGTATAGGAGAAAATCCACCCAGCAGCAGCAAAACCTCTCACATAGTATCTCCAGAAAGGGGGCCCAGCCTAGGAGCTAAGCTTGCTGTTTCCATCAGCGACGTGTAAGGAAGGATGGGGAAAGCAGTAAACACACTTAATTGTTTTGCTGTGGTCACTTTGCAGGCAGTTGCATCAGGTTGTCTGCTCCCCGGGGCCAGGCCACCCTGAGAAGCAGTGGCAGCCCGGGCTGCCGTCGTTACCTTCAGAGCATCTGGCGTGTCCTCCAAGCAGTAGACCTTGAGGCTGTACTCCAGGGAGGTGCAAATGGTGGGGGCAAAGATGGCCAGCTGGAGCCTCTTGATGGCTGACCTGGAGTAGGATTCTCCCACAAAGACATAGGTGCCAAGCTGGTCTAGCAAAATGTGGCAGGACTTGGCTTCCAGCTGGCAATAGCAAGGAGTGTTGAGAGTCTCCTCATCCAGGGTCACAACTTCCTACAGGGAATGAAGGTTGGGGGTCAGCCCATCATCCAGGAGGTGTGTCCCACAATGTTCGTGGTCTTCTCTGGCCAGAGGGGCTGCGCTTACCACCTTACCTCCCAGTTTCCCTGGTGGGACTGTGTTTTCAGCTGGTAAATCCAATCTGAAGAGTCGACGTCGGCACAGTGGGGAATGGTCAGGACAACGGGGCGACAGAGGAGCAAGCCGGTGGGTCCGCAGGTCACTGCTGGGCTCAAAACCGTCTGCGTACCTTCGGAGGGCAGGCTGGAGAGGGCAGAGGGGACATCGGTTGGAAACAAAGCCTCAACGATCGGCCAAGGAAGAGCAGAAGCGCGGACAGCGCGGTGTGACTTACAGGGCACTCTCTGCTTTGTTGAGGACCAGGTACATCTCGTAGAACTTCCCCTGGGGTATGGCCCCATGGGGCACCAGCAGGCTCACTCCTAGCATGGCACACACAGGTGTTAGTCACAAAATGAGGGGGAAGACACCAAGGAGAAACCACCCTTCCACCCTGGCTGGTGAGCACACGGACAGTGGTGAACCTGGAGAGACATCTCCAGATGTTCCTCAGCCACACCACTGGCGGGGAAGAGCCAGGCCACTGCGTTAGCAAGCAAAACCACAGGTTGGATCTTTTTGCAATGCACTGACCCTGGATCAATGGCACGGCTGGCCAGTAAAGTCCCAGGAGGCTGTAACCTCTAGCCTGAGAACCCTGGCTTGGGAATCGCTTATTGCCTTGCCTCCTCAAGCCAGCTTTGGGATAGCAAAGTCTGCTGGGAGAAGAGCCACCCCTTGCTCGTTCAGCAGCCAGACGCACCCTCCTCCCCAGCCCGGGGCTTACCAGTGCCTGGTATGGTGAGCCTTCCCCCCAGATAGCCAAACGTGCCGCTGGCACTGTTGCCATGTTCCCGGGGCAAACTGAGGAGATGCTGGGAGCCCAGGGCTTTGCTCCGCGCATTTGCAAAGTGACCGTCCCTGACGTTGTCCCCTGGGTAGGTGCCAGTGGCGGGGACCCCCCCGCCGAGCAGGTCAGTCCCGTCGTGGAGACCCGTCGAGGAGGAGGCGGTGGAAGAGTTGTACACCTTGATCTTGAGGCTGGGGAGGGGGTCGAGCAGGGGGGAGTTGGTCATGGGGATCTTGTCGGAGGAGTCCTGCAGGGCGTACATGGGGCCGCGGTACATGCCCGCGCTGGCCGTCAGGTCCGGCTGCATGGAGGGGTGGAGCAGCTGAGGGTTGTCTGTGGGAGGAGGAAGCATGGATGGGGTGAGGATGGAAACAAGGAGACGTAAAAGCACTGCTCGACTAGAGGAGATGCCTGTGAAAAGCCCTCCTTGCCCAGGAAGGACAACAGGTACGGTGCTGAGCTCTGTCCATCTTCCACCAGCTGCTCAGCATCATGACAAAGCAACGAGCAACATCCAGTAAATCCCCACCGTATTTGCTTTGCCCTGACTCCCAACCATCAACATCCGACCACCCCCGTGGAGCCCCCAGATTTCAAAAATCAGCATATTCCCCTAGAAATTTTGGGCTGGGTTCCCGACTGTGATTTTCTGCCTGGGCTTGAGCTGGCAAGCTGGACCTGCATGGGTTATGGCTCTTACCATGCCGAGAGGTCTTGAAGTTGACAGGGTGGAAGCCTCCAGTCAGAGCAGCAGACGAGTCTGTGATGTCTGCGTCAAAATCCCGGCATCTCCTCCGGTACACCACCACCCCCACAGCCATGAGGATCACAATGAAGACGAAAATGGCCACCACCAGCCCGGCGTACAGCGCCACATCGCCTGTGGCATCCAGCACTGGGAAGGATTTAAGAAATGGAGGTGAAAAAAGAAGCACCAGAAAAGAATCATAGAATCGTTTAGGTTGCAAAAGACCTTTAAGATCATCAAGTCCAACTGTTAACCCAGCACTGCCAGGCTCACCATTAATTCACGTCCCTGAGCACAGACAGCTTTTAAATCCCTCCAGGGATGGGCCCTGGGAAGCTTGTTCCAAAGCTTGACAACCTTTTCCATGAAGAATTTTTTCATAATGACCAACCTGAATCTCCCCTGGCACAACTTGAGGCCGTTTCTCTTGCCGTGTCACTTGTTACTGAGCACGTTCAGCCCATCCTTCTCCTCTTCCTCCCTCCACACTTGTCCACACTCCTTGGTTTCATGCCAAAGGAAAGCCCTGTCCATCTCAACCGTGTTAGGACTATGCCACCTCTCCGAGGTGTCACCTCATCCCCAATTCCCTCTGTTCTGGATGCCAGAAACGGGAACCCTGATGTGCTCCCAGGGACTCCCAACTGGAGGAAGGCACTCCTCGTGGTGAGGGTGATGATGCTTGGTGTGACACCTGCACCCAAAAACTGTAGGCAGCAAAAGGGGGGAGAGGAGCAGAGGGTGCAAAAGTGGGTTGAATCTACAGCTTTGAGCAGAGCTGGTAATTTATTACACACAGGAGTTCTGAGGTGGGCTTTTATTGCCTCCTATTTGCTCCCCTGATCCCAAACCAGTTGCCGAGGACCCCTACGCTATGGATGCGACAGAACAAAACCAAAGCGATGCCTTGCAAAGGAAAAACAAAATGGCCATGAAATGAGAACTTACGGTGGCTTTTGGGTTCGCTTAGAACTCTTTTATCTGTCAGGAAAGAAAAAGTTAGAAAACAAAAGATGAAGGTGATGATGGTGCGATGGGAATGAGATGAAACAAGGAGCTGCAGGGTGGTGGGGAGGGATGGGAGAGCAGTGTCACTCCCTGGGCAGGTAGAAAGCCAGGTAGAAACTCAGTGATGAGGATGTCCCCATGGCCAGCCAGTCCCCAGGACATATGTCCCCGGCTAAGAGAACTCGGCATTGCTAGCTGTGACAGCGTTAAAGGGAACAGTGGTGTCACTGAGCAGCAGGTGGCAGCATCGGCTGCTCAGCCTTCAGTGTGCCCACTCATAGTGTAACAGCATTATTATAATCATTATTATTATTACTACCACAATTATTGAGATTTTTCCTATCTGCTGCTCCAGGGCTCCCAGGGAACAATGACCCAGGTCAGAAGTTTTCATGATGGCGCTGAGAACCATCCCCCGGCTCACCTCCAACTAACCACAACCACCTTCATTCCCGCAGAGACCCCCAAACCTAGTGCCGCCCCAGAAGCCTTGGGGAGACCATTTAGATCCCACCAAAAATCCCCAAAACCTTTCTTTCCACCGGGTCACAACCAGCTTTGGAAAGGCCGAATCCAGTTGAAAAAACCAAACAACAAAACCACTTTGTTAAATTTACAATTTAAGTCGCCTGCCCTGTCAACTTGGGAGCCACAGCTGACAACTCCGTGGCCAAGCACTGTGGCCGCTGGCATCGCAGTCCTTGCCCGTGATACTCACTGTGGAGGCAGAGCCCGTCAGTGCAGTTTTTGGAGTCGAGCAGCATGCCGGCGCAGTCCTTGCCGCCGTTGCGGGGGGCCGG